GATCTGTTATGATATTTTGTTATCACTTAACTACTACAGAGATTGCTTAATTACATTTTTAATTCAAGAATGAATTTTGCTTACTACAACATAACCATGCACTAAATCAAGCTAATATTTGATAGATAATAAAGATGACACCTGACATCATCACTTGTATCATCATAGTCACAATGATACAATATAAGTATGAGCATTTTCATAATCAACACCCTTTTCCCCTTCTTGTCCATATATCACAGACAGTGGAAAGTCGAGATACTCAGCTTTTCCTGAAGGAGCAGAGGACAATGAAGATCACAGCCTTGTCACTCTTGAATGGGACACTTGTTCTCCTGACTACATATTGATTGCGTATAGAGGTGGCTCTTTGTGGCTTGTGGATATCAATACAATGATGATCATCACGAAGTATGTGATGCCCATTTCGGCCAGTGTCAACACCCTTGCCTGGCTGCCTGATGCGCCTGGGATGTTTGTGACAGGAGGTAAGAAATGCATTCTTGCTTTTTCTTTGTGGCATATTTTTGTTTGTAATCTCTCCAGGTTTGCAATCATGTTTCTAGTGTGTATATAAATTGATTTCTTTTTGTATCTGTACAATATATTGATTTATCCCAATACTATTTTCCTTATATCTGTACATACTTTATTTCCTCCTTCAGATTCAGAGAAAGGTATACTCAGAGTCTGGACTGTATCCAAACCAACCCCTATTGAGAATATTGTCCTGAAAGACACCGGTTTCCACGTCCTTTGTACGACCAGAGCTCTTACTGCTGCATGTCCAAGCAATGACCTGCAGAACCAGATGATTGAACGTTCAAGTGAGAGGAAGGGCATCATGATCCCCAATGTCTGTGTTCTGACTCTGTTCAAAGATGGGGGAGTTGGTCTATACCACCTGAGGAGAAAGCAGTGGATCTTTAACAGGGAACATGTAAGTTCTTGGAGTTGTTGTCTCCTGTTTAAAAAGAAAGAGACTGACATGTAAGTCACACTGTAGAAGGAGAGCAACATATGACAAAAATGACTTATCATAATTTTCTGACTAATTTGATTTAACGACCCTCAGAAAAAAAAAGAAAAAAAAAGATAATGCCAGCAGTGTGAGAACATTATGTATTTAATTTTGTATTTTGCAATTTTATTAGATATGAATAAGATAGAATTCCAGTGGAGTTAAAACAATTTATGTTGTGAGAATATTCAATAGTATAGTCACCATAAAGTATGATAAAGCAATGTGCTTTTTAACAAATAGTACCTTCCATACAGGGCCACACTGAAACGATATTTGACTGTAGCTTCAAGCCCGAGGACAGTGATCTTTTAGCAACAGGATCCTTTGATGGGTCAATAAAGATATGGAAAATTGACACCATGGAAGCAGTGAGTATTTTAAGCATTTTCTTTTCTCTCAGCCTAAAGAAGTGCGTGGAAGATTTAGAAGAACTAGTTATATAGATACAGCTTACTGAATATATAACTTTGATAGGTATTTGCATTTTACATGTAATATTAATTTATCATATTAGTATTTTATTGAAAATATATCAATTATCATACTTTTATGAAAAGAAATATCACATATATATGCTTCATTTATCAACCAAAAAAGACAGATTTATAATAAATTCATGTGATTTGTGTCTTGTGTAAGTTTTCTTAACAGACAAAAATCAGTCAATTAATGTCATGAATGACTCCACTTTTCCTTACAGGTTGATACATTGCCCAATAGGGACACCATCATCTACAGCTTATCATGGGCACCTGCAGACCTTAATTGTATTGTAGCAGGAACTTCTGGGGGTGACGTCTTTATCTGGGACGTTGGCAAACACAAAATCCTTCAAGATATTATATCACATAAGGACAAAAAAGTGTTTTGTGTGGCATGGAATCACAAGGACTCCAGGAGAATAGCCTCGGCAGGTAAGGGCTTGGAAAAATTGTGATAGCAGTGATGTAGTACATAAGAGAAACTGCAAGTTATCCTAAATACAAAAATCACCATTGTTCATGAGTCATTACTGGAATAGCAGAGGGATAAAATAGATGCTACTTACCACATGTTTACTTGTGGATTCAGCATCAAAGAATAAGCTTTCATGTGATAGTAGTATTTTAGATAACCTTTAATCAGTCATTATAATTATGTAATTATCACTTGTGATGTTATTACTCCTCCTGATATTGTATTACTGCCTTATTTATGATAATTGCGACATGATTTCCAATTACAAATTACTCTGGTGGTCATTATAGGTGAATCTGGATACTGTTATGTGCACCAAGTGAGTGGTACTCTGGTGCACGACTATCGACACCCTGGACCGGTGTACGGGTGCGACTGGCGTGACGCAGATATCTTGGCTACAGGCTGTGAGGATGGGAAAATTAGAATCTTTAATGTTAGCAAGAACAGAAAGGAACCTGTTAGTGAACTGAAAGGTAATTTTTTTTTCTGTTTTGTTCTGTATCTTCTGTTTTTTCT